CCTCATTCTTTCAAGGTCAAAAGAAATACTGTAGTTTAGAATTTAGTTTTTGATTGAGTGGAGGGAAAACATTAAAATATAATTTGCATATGAATTTTAGGGGTAATTCACATTAATGATAGCAATTGAGAAAGTTTCGGAAGTAAGGGGGCATTTATCAGGTCATTGATGTTGGCATAGTGTGTGAGTTCTTGGAGTGTAAATGCTTTGGCGAACAAGCCTTTCAACTATTGATTTTTATCTGGAGTCTAAGAGATCATAATTCTGACTTATAAACAGCTTGGATAATGACAGGCATTATAATGAGGCACAAAGTCATAAACCCTAGGAGCGATAATGTCTGTGAGGTTAAGGACTACCATTTATTAGCCATTATAATTATTTTAATGTGTTATAGTCAAATTATTTTCTTGCCTTTAATGATATTTATAACATGTATAATTTAAGTTTATACTAATGGTTCTATTATTATATATGAATTCAAAACAGAAAATAAAATCAAATTATAAAGCATTTGTCATTAGAATACTGGAAATCTGAGATTGTATTGCATGAAAATATAGTAGTGTCATAGTTGTGTGATTGCAATCTATGGAGATATTTTATGTTAGCTGTATTCTTTCATTTATTTTTCAGTAAAAAGGACATTTTTAAACAGTTAACTTATCCCATTTTTGTTAATGTGTTTTTTGGTCCACTAAATCTGAGTGTCTTACAACAGCAAGTTGTTGCATCCTCAATCCTGGTATAATTATGAATCTCACTAGGGAGCACAGAAAAATGACTCAGTAATTCAGTTTATATTTTATCTTGTTTTCCTCCTTTGAGCTGCGCAGAACAGTAAATGGTTGTTAAGGTGCAGTGGAGTAACTGGATTGTGCAGCAGGGGGATTGCAATGAAATGATGTGTATTTAACCTTTTGCTTTTGTACTTCTTTTTAGTACAGAGAATTTGGAAGCAGAATTACACCCTGTTGTTTAACTGCCTTTAAAAATGTTTGTGCAGAACAAATAACTTAGTTTTATGGCTTCTTTGGATGCTAAACTGTGCAGCAGAATCCAAAGCCATCCTGACTGCCAATACAAATGAAGGGAATGACTCTCCTTACTACCTTGGCAGAGCATTTACATATGATGACTTTAGAAAAACAGCTTTCTATTTTCATCGAAGTCATTCTGTCTTATTTTGTCACCCAAGTTGACTTCTGGCTACAGTCTTGAGCTTGTTCAGCTATTAAAACAAGCAAACAAAAACCTCTAAGCAAAACCAGAACAACAGAACTTTAAGGAAAATTTCCCCATGCATCAGACTTTGCTTTAGCATTTATAGGCCAATTTCGTCACCCTTTTCCAATTAGAATGGTTTGATCACTTTCTTTTTGCCTTACAAAAGACATTGCAGTGATCCTGCCAATCTTTGAAAGCTTAGGCCATTGCAATTGTGATAAAGTATTTTTTTCCCTGATAAAACTGAAAAACTTTCCATCTTATTTGACCTTGGGTGAGGCATTTTCATGTCTGTGAACTGTATCTCTTAGAGTTCATAATTAGTTGTTTAGCTGAATTGTCTTTATAAAGAATGTGATAAAGACACCAATCATCAGATACTGAATAAACAGACTGTCTAAACCAGGGGACCCGCTGACATTGACTGGCTTTGTCCCTTCTATTCTAATAAGAGAGCTAAAATTAAATATATAACTCATTGTGGTGTCTGTACAAACAAGAACACCATGAGGAATCAAAATAGGAGAAATATTACCTAGTGAAAACATACAGAAAGGTTTTGCTGAGAATCACTTTGCATAACATGATTGCAAGATTAGATCGTCAGCTTTAGATAAATTGCTCTTCTTAGCTTTGCTCTAGGACCGATGGAAAATCTTAGAAAAGGTGTTTATTTTTATCCCGATCACAGATCACATAATACACTCTGTTTTGTTTGATCCAAACTGCCACAGGCCTGAGGTTTTGCATGATATCCAAGGCAAGTTAGCTGGTATGGTTTCTTAGACTCTGTCAGAAAGCAATACCCTCCTGGGCCAGAGAGAAAGGAGTCTTGTTATTCTGAACAGCAGGCAGCAAGAGCCCCAGGCTAAGTTCTGAAGGAGAGATACATAGAAGCCTCGGTAGACATAGCTAGAAATGCATGTTTTCTATCTGAGGAATCTCTAGCTCAGAAAACCATCTGTGATTAGAGGGTGGGGGAGGCTGTCAGCAGAAATGTCTAACCTCTGCCCATGGAGACCTCGTCTTTATTTTCTCCATCAGTGAACAAATCTCCCTTTTACCTTGCATAAATTATGTGTGTGTCTTTTCTAGCTATTTGGAAAGATAGTCCGGAATAAAAGCCATCAGAACATAAGGAGAAATGCTTTGAGATTTACCACCAACACAGTGTTTGGAAATAATCATTATGAAACAATAAGAGAATATTTGGTATGGTGTTCTCAGAATGCAGATTAAATAATTCATAATTTTTATAATAAAAACAAAGTGAATAAGGAAGGAAGGTAACATTTTGAAGATTCCATCTTAAAAGTATGCTAAGGCTGGAAGACATTCTGAATTATTGATGATCTGTACTCTAATTTGTTCCTATCAGTAAATGAAGTCATGAAATTATAGAATCCTTAAGTGAGTTTTATTTTATTTAATATGTATATATGCATATATGTATGAAGCCTACTTTAACACATGAATTTAAATAAGTTATAAATCTATAGTAAAGACATCATTCTCAACTTGGAGGAATAAGTTTTACAAATCTTTGTAGAAAATTTCTCAGGGCAATGAGTTGGGTTTTTTAATCTAAATACTAGATCAGATAAAGAACATAAATATTGCAGCTTTATTTCCAGGGTCCACCCCACAACTGCAACTTCACTTCCGGGACACACACCATAATCACTTCCATGTGATGTCTTGATTCATCACACGTGATCTCCTGAAGAGCACACTGTGAAAACTAGGAGCAACAATTCTCAGATTTTACGCATATGCCTTAGCGTTTTTTCTTTTGGAAGTGTTTTCCTTCTCTAGTTCTACTCTTTTGTCTTCTCTTCTTGAATACCAACATGCTTTCAAGTAAGGTTCTGATGATGTACTCTGAAAGGTAAAAAAGTCAGATGCTGAGTGACTGTCAGCAAGAACATCTGGGGAGATCAAGGACCAGCAAAACTCTAAGCACAGCTTGGTGGCTCACATGCTAACAAAGTTAATCGCACAATAAAATGGCCACCATTTTATAAATTTTCAGTGTTGCTCCCTCTCCGGGCCTGGATTAGGCTGGGTGATGTGTGAGTGGCGTGATAAGCCCCTTCCACTTCTGGACTATAATGGGTTTTTATGCGGCATCATCTTTTAGAAGAACACTTAAATCTTAAACATACTTGGGATTCAAAGACGACTATCAGATGTCAAAACCTAGACTGCTCAGTGGGATGATGGGTGTAGACGAGACAGCCAGCAATCAGTCAGTGAGCACTGGAATGCGCCCCTGAAGACCAAGCTGGCAGTAGCTTTGCTACATGAGATACCCCCAGTGTAGCCTGTCTTTTGATATATTTTTTTAAGAGGCATCAGAAAACTGGATGTTTAAACAGGAATTCTCATTCTTGATGTTTGCCAACTGTCAAATGAAAAGTAATAGCTAATATTTAGTTTGATAATCCAAAGGCTTTTGCAGGCAAGTTCTACTTAGAATGCATAGAGGAACCTTGAGGAGTTGAGAGGAGACATAAGACACACACACATCAATTGCCTTACTTGCGCAGATTTAATTTAAACAAATAGATGGTGAGATTGGCTTACATAAATTAAAAATATGTGCACCAAAGCAATACCAACTACTTTTAAAAAATGTAAACAAGCATGAAAACAATGTATGCAGTAACAAGTCACAGGAATTGCCTCCTAAGTGGTAGGTGGGATGGCCAGGCTAGAAAGGGAGAAATCATAAATAACTAAAGGAAAGGCCTTTTCAGGCCACTGATGATATGAGCTATGCCTTGCATACCCAAAACCTCAGTGCACATGCTTACAGGGTAGAAGGGAAAATTAATTATAATTATCAGTGCAATGGGTTGTCCCATGTGAATTTATCCTATAGTCTGTGCAATAAGAGAAAAGCGGAGGCTGGGAAGAGATAATAATAAATAAAACCATTTTTTTTTTCCCCAAAAGAAGTAATGTCGTAGAAACTGTGGAAAAACTTTTTGTTTCTTTTGGTCTCAGCAAAGTGCTTGGTACTATTGTTAAGAAGGGAAAAGGATTTTATATTGCCTTCTCTTTAAGACAGAGGCCAACTAGCTTGAGACAACATGTCAACTGCTGCAAATTCGCATGGAAACATGAAGCATGAAACAGTTCTGTTGTATGAGGCAGTGCTGAGACAAGGTCTCCTGCAGCCAGGCCTGGCTGCAACCTCACTGTGTAGCCATGTAAAGATGTAGTGTGTCTATGACTTGATACTGGGGGATGTATTTAGGAGTCCATATATTTGCATGGTCAGATTTGATTAACTGTATGGATCACGCACATCCATCCTTACATACTCTTCTGTAGTCAAACATTACTCAGAGTCCAGAACAATGGCTTTCTGTGCGTGGCAGTAAAAATGCAAAAGGAACTCAAAAAATTCAAGGAGATGCTTTCTTGCCATCACGAGTATTCTGGTTCCCCAACTAAATTGGAAGACAAAGGCTCCTGCAGGTGAAATATGAATAGGAATGGATTCTAGAGTGACTGGCTCTGCAGGCGAAAGGCATAAGGGACCACCGGGAAGACTAAGGATTGGTAAAGAGGTTTAATGCGAAGAGGAAGCTCATAGAGAAGCTTCTAAGCACACAATTAAATATCTGAAGACGAGAAGGTTTTATCTTCTCAGAAAGTAGACAAAATGGACTGGGAATTGGATTGTAGAAGAAAATGAAGTGGCTTTTAGTGAAGTTTTTCTTCTCTATGCACTTAACATAATGATACATTATCTTCAATTTCAGATATACTGGCCGAGCCCAGCAGGAAAAGTAGAAGAATGCATAATGAAAGGAAAAGACACAGTAAGTACTCTTCACTGTAGGCTAAACAAAGCGCGGATTCTATTCTTGGTTGCCTGTAGTAGGAGCTCCGGGGCTGCATTCCACCACCCAGCTCCCGCCACCGGCTAGATTTATCCGAAATAACAACACACAAATTGTATTCTTTTAAACACTGCTTGGCCCATTATATCTAGCCTCTTCTCGGCTAACTCTCGCACCTGGACTAGCCCATTTCTAATAATGTGTGTAGCACCCCAAGGTGCGCTTACCCGGAAGATTCTAGCCTATGTCCATCCTGGGTCGGAGCTGCCCGAGAGAGAGGAGCCTGGCGTCTGTCTGAGGCATTTGCATCTGAGAGGAGCTGCATGGTTTCTGAGCTCACTTCCTCTTCCTCCCAGCATTCTGTTCTGTTTACTCCGCCTATCTAAATTTTAACCTATCAGGGCCATGGCAGTTTCTTTATTTAACCAATGACCTTCTTCCATCAGTTGCCTATAAAGCAATGAATCAATAAAGTTTTATTTCCTGTCAATGACATATCTACAATTTTTTCATAAAGAGAAAAGATACACAATAAATACATTATTCTATAAAACTAGCTATAATGTAGAATTGAAAGAAAAGAGGCTACCATCCTGAAAGGAGCATGTGTTAAACAAATTCATGTGCTGTTATGCTGTGGATGTTTTACTTACATGTATGTCTGTGCATCACATACATGCAGTATCCTCTGAGGCCCAAAGAAATCCCTGGATCCTCTGAAACCCTTAAAGATGAGCCATCTCTCCAACCCCAGGGAACCTGTTATTCTTTTATAGTTTATTAAGCTTGGGTTGATAAACTCATTATACTAATGTTTATCTTCTGACTATTTGGTAGAAAAAAATCATAATTGTAGGTGCTTCTTTTGCTAAATTTGAAGGACTAGATAAGAAAAGTCAAACTCTTTAAGATTTCCCTTCACTTTGATGAATTTATTAGAAATGTAGAAACAAAATAAGGTCACAGAGCTTAAAGAGATGAAGCAGGAAAAGCTTGGGGTCTTCCCTGGTATCAGAAGCAAAGTCTATCCCTGTTAAACCTGGAGCCCATGAGGTACAGGAGTGAGAAGTGCTGTTCTCTATGCTGTTCTGACTCCCTGATGTGGGTGAGAGGCCTACATGGAATGAGTGCTCCTTTTTCTGATGGAATACATGGTTTGGAGGATGGCCATAGGTCTTTCCTTGAAAGCAAACTTATCTTTGTTTCTCCTAAGCTTAAAAAAAAATGTAAATGACTACACATTATTAGCAACTCCCAATTCTCTGTTGCCACTGGAGCATAGCCAGGACATGAGTCAACGCTCTTCTTGCCTTAGTCCACGTTGTGATGCTGAGAATCGAACAGACTCGCAGCCCATGGCAGTCGAAGCCAAAATGGGGTCTAATTGCTTCTGTCTACCAAGTGACAGGATGTCAATAGGGGAAAAGCAGGTGCTTCCAGCCATGTGAGGGCAGAGAATTTCTCCTTGTCTGCATGGTCAGATTCTATTAACTGTATGGATCACGCACAAAGTGCAATGTTACATATGTAGGAGCTGAGCGGATAGATCTGTGTGCTCAGGAATGCAGTTTGCACTGTTACCAAGGGGCTTAACATCCTGAGAGACTGCACGGCAAGGTCAATCTGCTGGACTTTCCATCCCAGCCAGTTTAGAAGAGAGACTTGAAGGAGAAATCTTGTTCTGTCCATTTTATCACTGTGGTGAATATTTATTTTAAGGTACTAATTTTTAGGGCTAAAAGGGGTTAGTATTACTCTTGTAATTTATTTTTGATGACATAGTGATGTCTAAATTGATAGGAGGATGTTTTCAAAAATTGATTTGGCTAATTTGGTTTGAAGCAATTTAAGTGTGTGCATGTAAGTGTGTGTGTGTCTGGGGAGTGTATGACGGTGATGAGCCTGCCTGAATGGTGGAGATGTGACAGCATCTGATAAAGTGAGTGTGTGTGCACGTGTGTGCATGTGTGTGTGTGAGAATATGTGAGTGTGTGTGTGTGCGTGTGTGTGTGTGTGAGAATATGTGAGTGTGTGTGTGTGTGCGTGTGAGTGTCTGTGTGTGTATGCATATGTGTGTCTGGGGTGTGTATTAAAGTGATGAGCCTGCCTGAATGGCGGAGACGTGACAGTGCCTGATACAGTGAGTATGTGTGTGCGCATGTGTGTATGTGTGTGTGTATGTGTGTGTGCGTGTAACAGCAGTTCATGAAAAAAATAGGCTATAAATTTTAAAGAGGGCAAAGAGAGATACATGACAAAGTTTAGTGGGAGTAAAGGAAATTATAATGGCATTATAATGACATCATAATGTCAAAAAATAAAGACAATTTTCAAAACTGCTGTGGCAGGAGAGCAGAAACTGACTCTCTGGGAAGAGGCCACTGGCAAGAGAGCACAAGCAGGCAAGAAAGGGTGAAAATGGCAGAGATGCAGTGTCAGTAGAGAAAAAGCAAGTGCTGCCAGCAATACGAGGGCAGAAAATTTCACCGTAGCCACACGGAGTCTACTATGATCTTGAAATGTTCATAAAGAAAGCCATCATTTTGTTAAAATAAGCACATTATATTTAAAAGTAAAATATAGTATTAATTATGACAAATTCAATAAAACTCTGATGAGTTTTCTCATTCTCATATGTCTATATATTAATGCAAATAAAAAGGAATGATTGGAAAATGGGAGGACAATAGCTGGCAAGTTCGGAGCACCAGACTCCTTGTTTGACTTTATAAGTGGGTGCAGCAATGCATGAGTTAAATACTCTTCTCTGTAATCTGAAATTTAAAGCTAGTGCTGCCTGGCTGGGATCCCCAGGAAGTGGTCTGGAGTCTGCTCTTGTGCACACAGCTAACAGAATGCAGCACACACGTGTGCTTCACCACCTATGGCTTCTTCTCTTCTATCGCTGCACACCTGAGGATTTTCACCAGTTGCCACACGAATTAAATATTTTACGCATCATTATTTATAGACAAATTATTGACCATTGCACTGCAGCGTTTTGTAGCAAGACCCTCAAAACATTTGCCAATCAAATGTTGTTTCTAATAGTTAATATGTTTAAAAAAATCTCCCCCAAATTACATTTTATGTGAATTTATAATTTCGAATATGAGCACTATTTTGCTTACCAAAACTCTGTAGTGCCAATGAGGACTTCTAAATCTAAGGGTGCAGCTTTCGAATTTTGTTTAAATAAATATTAGATACTCGATTTTACTGCTTACTTTGGGATATTATGGCATTTTCATATCATGGTTCATTTTTTTTGTCAGAATTTCTTTTGCCAGTTAAAAACTTTCAAACTATTAAAAAATTTTGTAGTACCCTGCTGTCAACATCATATATTTTCTTAAGAATAACGACCCTTTTCTAATTACTGGGTTTTTAATTTTATGTTGGTTCATAAACATATACTGTTGTTAAAAATGGCAGCCCTGGGAATACTTTAATTACATGGGGACTATATTGATGCAAATTAGTGTGACTGAACACATTCGTGAGAATGCTATAAAAATGACTTACAGAATTATAACAAAAAGCATTTCACATTTCACTGCTTATTAAACACGTGTCCCTCACACTAGTTGCTTTCTCCCAGGTCCTCGTCTTCCTTATCCCACTCTCTTTTCCTTTCCCTCCCGATTCAGACTCCTTTTCTAGGAATGAGGGACAACAAAGGTCAAAGGTAGGTCAAACATTTGTTCCCTTCTAACTAGGTGTCTTTTCAATCCCACTTTAGAGCGAGTGTGCCAACTATGTCCGGGTCTTGCATCACTACAACAGAACGCACCTTCTGACCTGTGCTACTGGGGCCTTTGATCCGCTTTGCGCCTTCATCAGAGTCGGGTACCACTCAGAGGTAAGACGGATGTTATAAAGGAAAGGTTGTGCAATCTCCCTCAAGAAAGACAGGACCATTTGAGTTGTGCCTATTTAATGTACTTGAGACAGAGGACTGGTCTCCCTGTGTCTAAAACCCTCTCAATCTGTGAACCAATTAACTTTTGGCATTTATTCACCAAGCAATTTTATTTCCTTAATTGTCTGATTAAAACAGATTTTGCAACATCAAAGTGTGTTGTCTACTATGCTCTTATATATGTTTTACTTATGAATTCTAACTAGAACATATATTTATATGTATGTACACAAACAGATTAAGAAAGAGGTACACATAAACAAAGATAAATACAATTTATATAAAGTTCTGCATACTGTACTTTACCAAAAAAAAAAAAAAGTAAAGCTTTTTGATTTTATAATTACGTTCTTTCCAGCCAAGTGAGGTGGGAAACACAGTAGAAGGAGAGGTTTCAAAGCAATAGCAGATAAATCTTAGGGTGAGATGCCATGCATCTTTACACCAAACCTTCTTGTGCAGACGGCAATGACTGCAAGTCCCACTCCTGCTTTTAAGAAGATATTGTTCTCTAACAAAGGATTCACCACCTTCTTCGCCTCCTGCTTCTTCATGACGGCGGGGACCGGGGCCACCTTCTTCCCCTTGGCCTTCTTTCCCTTGGGCATCTTGCCGGGCTGGAGGAGAGAGAGAGCCTGGTTGAAGAACTTTAGACAGAGATATAGAAGAAGACAAGTCAGACCAAGGACAGGTCACATAACAGCACACCAGAAATTCTGTTATCTCTTTACAGGCAGACATATGCACAGCCAGCATACATACATTTTCCGTATTTATCTATCTGCTAGCCAGCCACATAGTCTCTCTGTTTTCACTCATTCAATGACATCTTTGCTGCTCCTTCACTTTCTCTGAGCAGAAGATTCTAGATTAGGACTATTCTCATAATCCCTTCAGTATTTTAAGATGCTTTGTTAGCTCTACTTTTTTAGGTTCTTTTAATTTTTTTTAAATTGTATTAGTTCTTTGAGAGGTTCAGTGTACTTTGATCATGGTCCCCCCTCCAGCTTTTCCTTATCCCATCCATCTGTGTCATTAAAACAACCACAACAAAAACAAACAAAAATGTAACACAAAACAAAACCCACTAAGACCAGTTTGTGCTGCTCTTGGATATGTGTCACTTGCCTAAATAGGACTCTCCCTCTCCCAGCAGATAGGTCCCAAAAGAGGGGTGGGACTCTGAGCCCACTTCCGCTCTCCATGGTGGCACTTGGTCTGGCTTGGCTTATGCAGGATTTGTCCATGCTGTCACGGTCACCCTGTTGTCATAACTACCTTGCTGGCACAATCACCATGAACCCACATGTGCAGCTGTCCTGCTGGGCCTCAAAGAATTCTTTCTTGGTTGTCACTGACAAAAAAAAAAAAAAAAAAAAAAAAAAAAAAAACAGTCTTTGTCTCCTGCAAAGATTTCTGAACATTGTGAGCATGATGTGCGCTACATGTCTTCCACTTAGGAGCAAATATTCTACAGTCTTATTTTATAAACCTCGGTTATTGTGGGTCTCTGTGCCTAATGTAAGTATGGCTTCATGCACATCGACTCTAACTTGTTAGAAGAGGCTTTCTCTTTCAAAATTGTATTTATTTCCTTGTTTCCAGCGGTCATCTGAAATGTACCTCTGAATGCAGAGGTCTTTGGCAAAGCATAGCTGTATTTCTTAGGCTATCAAGGCTGTCGAGACATGGGTTCCTGTATCACATATGTTGATGTTTTACAAAATGTTCCTTTGATAACATTTCTGCTCCCTTCGGTCACTTGTGTTTTCCCTGCAGAGGCTCCAGTGTGTATAAGTATTTTGCCTTCTAGATATCATCTCACAGGTCACTAGCTCAGTTCACTGTTATTCATTTTTTTTTTTCTCTCACGACTGTGAGGGTTCTCAGGACTGAGACCCAGTTATTAGGCTTGCGTGGCAAACAAGTCACCTCACCTAAGAGGCTTATTTTTGTTCTAGAAGAAAAAGACTATGCACAGTATCCCTTGAACACTTCCACTTGCTTGCTGTCTTAGCAAATCTATAAAGTGCCCTGTGATTCCCCAAGAAGATTCTTCCATAGTTACCAAATGCTTCCTTCTTTCTGCTTGACTAAACGCTAAGAATAAATTCCTGCCATAGCTGAACTTAAAGTCATAGTTGTCAATATTTTCAACTTTTCAATCATGACTCAGGGTCTGCTCACAAGTATAATTCAATATACTGAATGATTTGTAACTCATATATGTAGCTCATATTATCACAGGGTGTAGAAATTTCAGGGCCCAACCTCAGGTTATAGATTCTGCCCTAACTTTACAACTGAGCTACCCCTTCAATCTTTGCTGGTGACATCTCAGTAAGTCCTCTATGTCGGCACCCACCATTCCTCTCTACATGAACCACGTGGTTTCTCAAGAGAAAATGCCTTCACTTTGCTCTTGCTAATGTCTAGTGTATCCAAATAGCTTTGTATTGGAGACCAGCTTTGACAAAAAATACCATTTACCAGGGTAGGTGCGTGGGGATCAGTGAAAAGAATGAAGATGCTAGTGAAAATAATATAACAAAAACATAGGATAGTATCAGGAGGGAGTTCCAGTGAATACTGAAATCCCTGTATTTAATTTTCCATATGGTTTTACACCTCAATACAGCAGGAGAAGAAGACAAAAGACTGTTTTAATATGATACAAAAGACAACTCAAGTTACTTGCTTCAATACTTTGAGATATCAAGTCATTAGCATTCTGTTTTTAGGCAGTGAACCCACCTTAGACCAAGTATCCTGAAGGCAACCATTCCCTAGATCAATCCTCCTATTTCAAAGAAGGAGCAGAACTTTGCTCAAATCTCCTGACCATTGGTTTGGGTAGAGTGGATGGACCCACCTGTATGGGCCATCTTAATGTCAAAAGAACCAAGTAACCACACCCTACGTCAAGAATGTGTAGCCCTGGTTGTTGTCAACAGTTTTGAGCAACCTCAAACTCTCTGACCTTCAGACAAGGTGGAAATAGGCTCACATTTTTGGGCCTCCACAGTTTTATACAAGTTGTTTTCCTTGTTTTAATCACCATGGAAAAGTTCTTCCAATACAAATTATAGTTGTATTAACAAAGCAGAAGCATTTTGTAATTAAGCTGCATGTGCATAGCATTGAATATCCAGTGTCATGCAGTTCAGTATGAAAGCTATCTCATTAAAGGAATCTGTAACCCCATGGTAATCAGAGCAATGAGGGTTCTATTCCCCGTGCACCATGTGCAATCTTGGAGTAAATGAAAAGTTACCAATTATCATAGTCGAGGCAAATACTTATGAGAAAGCTCACAGGGAGTCATTCTGGGTAATGTTTGCAAATACTTGACTATTTGTCTATGTGACGTGAAGAATAGCAAGGAATAATGGTGGGGGAAGTATACGGATGACTTTGGCGTCACACAGTGCTACCTGAAAGTTTTCTGAAGACAGAAGAGGAGAAGATGGAATTTTGAGTAGAGTACTCAGACGATATGACATTAACTTGGATTAATTCAAGCAGGAAAGGATAAAGGGCAGAGAGGCATTGGAGGAGCCTACCGTAAGCATCTTGGCAGAGCAGAGAGTGTTTGACAGTGTTGCCACAATACCAGAGAAGGATGTATGGAGCTGAGGTGAGAAACGGATCACCACCAGACTGTATACAAGTTGGCATTTTTATTCACATGTTGCAGGAGTTAGAAACAGCTCCAGGTGTATTTCTTGTTTGTTGGGGAAGACTTTCAGCCTTCAACATAGAAACACGGAACTCAACTTTAACTCAAAAAATGGTAGATTTTCTTGAGGCCATCACAAATGCTCACCATCCCGCCACAACCTGGCCCACTTTGTCCTTTTAGCCTACACCATTTTTCTAATTTCAGCTTCTATGAAAATAGATTTCTATATATTTTCTGCTGTCTTTTGATGAGCCTCCATTGTCTGTGGTCATAGTCCTGCCTTTCTCATTTTGCTTCCTGGCAGCACTGACCTGGATTCAACTAGAACCTTTTCTGTTACTCATTTTGTGTATAGTAAGTCTTGTTGAACTTTTAGAAGGACTATAGAGCTCAGAATAGATAATCACCTTCACAATGTAGGACCCCTATTCTTATTTTGTGAATGCTCCAGTTTGTGGTTATGTATTCTTCTAGCCTTTATTCCTGCTCTTTTACCCTGAATGTTACTTTTTCCATGTCTCTCTAAATATCCTTTTCTCCGAATAGTTCTTTTCAACTTCAAGAAGCACCCCCTTGGAGCAATATGAGCATGCTAACTTAGAGTCTCATGGGTCTGCAACCTGCCCCAAATCCCTTGCAGTCACTCGGAGATTGGTTTAGCAAAGCTGCTGAAAATTTCAGCTGTTCCCTAAATGGTGTTCCTCTGCCAAGAAAGCCTTGGAAACCCGGGCTCTTCTCTCTGTTCCTGCTGTAGTTCATGGCTACATGAAGTCCTTGCACGGGTGTTGCGTTTGGAGGCAGTTGTGATGGGTGTTGGCGAGACTGGTTTTGCTTTCCCTTGCTGCTGGCTCTGTTGTTCTGGGAATTTATAGAGACTTGAATGCATGCCTCTGTACAAATCTAAGGCTTTACATAAGCCACACATGTAAGTTCATAGCTAACTTATGACTCAAAGAAAATGGAAACTGTACTGTAAATAATAATAAAAGGTTTACACCATAAAAAGCAGAGCTCCTGATGTAAAACATGAGTTTATACATAAGTGGCAAAAGCCTTGAGATTCTAGGAAAATTAAAATGGCCTTTAAAATGTAAGAGTTCTCTAAGAACAGTGTTTTTAGCATGATGGTGTTAGCATATTCCTATTGGTGTGAAATTTCTGTTTTACATAATGAATTATTAAAACTGTGGCCACTTGGCAAACACATGTATCGGTTGCATTGTTTTCGTGGGGCTGGATACCAGGCACTGTTCAGTTG